TAAAAGTACCAATAAAATGTTCTAGGTTATAAAGAGAATAGCTAAAAAGTTGAGGCCCCCAATAAAATGCCCAAAAAGACAACACCACTGAGCACACATAGCCACCCTGAGGCATAGCCTTAAGGCGCAAGCCTGACTAATGGCACTCAAGGAGTGGGTTTTGAGACATTTTATAACAACCTCACATGAGGTGGGTTCAACATGTAAGCTAAGAAGCACCGATACTTGTAAACTCGTTACGTACCTGTATCCGATACGTATTCAAGCTCCGATACCCTTCGATAGGTACCGGATACTTTTTTTTTTTTAGTTATTTTATATTTTTTAAAATTTTCGATACGTGTCCAATACGTATTTTTTAATTATTTTATAGTTTTGCATATTTTTGATACGTATCCGATATGTGTTTTTTTTAATTATTTTAATAACTTAATGAATATGAATAATATTTATTGAAAATACACAATTGAAATTTTAAAATTAACAAATAGACTTTTTTATTGGAAATGCACAATGTTATTAATCTTTCAATACATGTGAAACCGCGTTGTAGTTAACAAATATATTTTTATTATTGGAAATAGACAGTGACTGGTATTAAATAATACATGTAAAATTGTGTTATATTAATTCTATTACTGAAAATAGATAATGAATTAATATATGTAAAACGGTGCTAATAAATTGCTTTAGTATTTTATTTTATTTTTATATCATGCCTTTGTATTAATTTTTTTTATATTAATCAAATTATGTTGGATTTTATAAAACATATCGGCATATAAGTATCATATCATATCGTATCCGTAACCGTGCTTCTTAGGATGTAAGCCTCAATAAGCTTTCTTGAACAATGGGATTAACAATTTTCAAATGTCAGAATCCAGTTGCCAAATGAAAAACAAGTCAAGCAGTAAAAAGCAAAGCAGATGGACATTGCCACCTCAAACCCCAAGACTCCTTCAAGCAAAATAATTAATCTCTAAAAACTCAAGCATCCATAGTTAACACATATGCAATGTAAACTTCCTCCCACCTATGACACCTAGAATGCAAACACTCTCTGCTACATTTAAACAAAATCCACTATTAATTTTAATTTTAATTACCGTGCATGTATAAAAAAGCAAAGAAAAAAATGTGACACTGAAGATTCTATAGAATATAAGATTAATTGAAATAAGTGATGCACGTGTAGCCATCTCCGAAAGCTTAAAGTTTTATATCAAGTGTTATATAGATTTCCTAGTAGATCACCGCCATCTTCTACACCAAGTAGTGTCTAAGGCCATCCTTTCAACAATTCACACGCCACTAGATAGTTTTCAAATGGCCTTAGAAGACAAGCTTTAGAGTGTAGGGAACAAGATCACCATGCTAAATATGACGAAAGAGGACTGTTACCCCTTCCAAGCACTCTAGTGGACTATGTCCTACTACATCCTTCAACTTCAAATTTGTCTTCCCCTTCATTTTTCAAGCATTTTAGTAAATTACAGACTATGTTAGTCTTCTTGTTACATCCATTACCATGTTCATATGAAGTGTTTCATGAATTTCATGAATATGGACAATTCACGCATCTACGCATAAGGAAAATAAATGGCCAAATAAACACAAAAGAGACAATCAGAGGGAACTACAAATGAACAATTACTCAGCACAAATGAGTTTATCAATGCAAAGAATGATAACAAAAAAGCACATGATAAGGATTGAGAACCTAGGGCAGATAAGCTCCGAATAAATAAGTCTTGTGAATTTCCAGGATCAGGCTTCAGTATCACCTGAAAAGAATTTCAGGCAACCACTCTTAAGGTAAATGAAAGAACGTTGAAAGCCAACATAACCCCTCAAAAACTTCGCCGAGGTCATAAATCAATCAGGGCTCTAGATTTCCAACAATGAACAAGCTTCTAGTTCACCTGGAATTGAGTGTGCCTTTGAAGCCTATTTGGGTTTTCACCATAACGACTATCATCAGGCCGGATGCTAGGTTCTACATACCTTCCACCAGAAACCACCACGTTAGCAATCACACTAAGAACTAGGATAACCAAATATATTTGCATCATTCAAAAATGAAGAGTGAAAACATCTTGTAATAATATTCTTGCCCAAGTCAACAGGATATTATGGGACACTTAGTCCTTTGCAAGTCCAGGTATTCCTTAAAGCAAACTTTTTTAAGGATTTTATCAGGAGCTTCAGGAGCTAATATCAAATGCCAAATTTACAAAATATTTTGCCTCACATTATTGATTCAATCAATGTTGCATAATGAGCCATATCATACATTTTCTTCGTTAAATGCATATAAATTGCCAAAGCTAGTCTAGTATTCTACAACACTCTTGCTAGTACAATGAAAGGACTGTTTTTCAAATTGTATCACAAATGCCAAAAGAATAAAATCAAATTGTCGCCTTAGCATTTTTTTTTTTTAAATTTTCATCAATATGCCAACAAATATTGAATTCATGGTTCCCCCAATTCTAGATGCAAAGCAATATCATAGTTATGTATGAGTCATATTTCCATTTTCATCTTGATTTTTCCAATTTTCTTTTTTTTTTTTTTGGTGGGGAGAGGGAGAGGTCATAGCAGATATAAATTTTACAAAGGATCAAAAGCATACTTACGCAACATTCCATGGTTCTGGACCAAGAACCCTTAGAAACGTAAGAGGGTTCATAGTCCCAGCGCCAACCTGCTCAATACAGTCAAAACCTCAAAAAATTAATAAGTGGCTGACAGGAAGTTGGCTCACATATTTAAACAAGAAACAAATAAAGTGAGAAATAAAGAGTATGAATAGTGTGTGGAAGAAAAAAAGAGAGAAGGGTTCATTTTTTGCCTGCACATATACGGATGCAAATTATATGATGCAATATGTGTAAAGACAGAGTAAATGTTGACCGTGTATAAAGGATTTGATGGAAAAAGCTGTTGATTACCTCAGTGTTGCTGCATTGCATTACGGCACATCCAACAGAAGCCCAATACTCCTGCACAACAACAGAGTCCAAATTTTAAAATAGTAAACAAAAACAATGTCATACTACCATTTACATTCAAGTTCCGGAAAAAAGTCCCTCTTATGCACCGTTCAATTTTCTTTTATCCAGCTTCACTCGCACAAAGTTAAAAAGATCACACTATACATTTACTATAGCACGGACAATGATTCTCCATAATTTGTTTTTTGACATGTTTATTTTACTGCAATCTCTTGGTAAAAAAATGACAATTCCTGATGTAAATTCTAATCTACTTCCTGAAGTTCCATGTTAACCAATTTAGTCGTCAAGTTACTACTGAGTTGCAATTCATCAAATTCAAAACTTGTCCAATTTAGATCGAATCTACCATTTCCAAATAATATGTCAACTCATCCAATCCAAAACTATTATGAAATTTCAAAATCGCTAATGTTCCAATGACGTGGTACCGCCTCCAAAATAAGCCACAAACACAGAAATAGAACTAATATGAAACAAAGAGTGAGTTTGGCATGACTTAAAAGGGCAAAAAAAAAAAAGCTTTTTGGGAAGCACGGAGAGTGGAACTGTCGAAAAAAAACCCCAAAAGAAGTTTCTTTTAGCTTTTAAGCCGTAGCGAACATGCTCTAAGAAATTTCATCAAGCACTTAATTGTCAAATAAAAACTGAATTGGCTTAAACGAAGCAGCACGGTAATAAAAGAAACCTGGAGGCGTTGAATGGCTTGTTGGAAAGTGAGAGCAGATGATGCCGGTACCAAATTTTTGTTGTCCTTTGAAGACTCCTGCTCTGTAGAAGCTGTAGAAGAATGGGTTGTGGCAGAAGGACGATAGAACGTTGCAGTTGAAGAAAAGCATTTGCGCTTGAAAATTGGAGGTGGGCTGGGATTAATTCTGTGGGCTGTTGTGAAGAGGAAAGATAAATGGGGCTTGTATTTGTTGGGTGGTTTCTTGAGAATGGATGTCACTAACGGTAGTGACAGTATTGCCATACCAGTAGAGACTCACTGTAAGGGTGGGTGCGGGGGAAGGGGAGGACGAAGGCTGAGCCAGGGGGGGGGGGGGGGGGGGGAACTTGTGGAGGGAAGATGGAACCTTGGATTGACAAGGATTGTGCCTTGTGGAGGGTTTATCTCGGAACAAAGGAGCTAAGATTTTACAGATAAATCGCATCGCATTAATGCGATTTTAATTGTACAAGTGACGCCCTGATGTCCGGCCCCATATGCAAGGGAAAGAGGCGGGGGATGGGAACCATAAACCTGAGGGATAATTACAAATACGGTACCAAACCTTTTAGAAATTTTCAGATTTTACTCAATTTTTTTATTTGTACCACTCACGGTCCCAAACTTTTCAGAAATTCTCATTGAGTCCAAATGGATCAATTAGTTGACCCAAAAAATTGACTTTGACCAATTTTAAAAGGGATTAAAATGGTAACATTGAATTTTCCACATTAAATAATTAAACAGACAAAACAAAAAAAATAAAAAGTAAAATGGTAACTGTTCATTGGAAGATAGAGAATTTCATATTGGAATTTTGGACAAACCTATGCGCAAGGGCAAATAATAGAGATTCAACAAATGTGCATTTTTACCAAGACAATAAGAAAAAAGTACATAATGGCAAACCTACAAACAATAGTATAAAAAAGTCAAAAATTATTTTAGAACTCCATGCTCTCGAGTGCTTGTGTTAAACGTTCTCGATTCCATCAATACTACTTGAATCAAGCCGTGTATTTCAACTTACAAAGCCTGTTTTTCCCAAATAAAACCAAATCCCATTAATGTCAATATATTCTCTCAACACTCGTGTTGGTCTCTTTGTTTTTGAATTCCCCCCAAAGGCAAACTATCAATGAGACATGACTTATTTTCATCAACTACTCAATCACCTTCCAATTCCTTAGCGATGACCAAGATGTAGCTGGACAGAGGTAGCATTTATAATTGTTTTGCTACTACATCAACACACTTTGGTATGTTTTATTTTTCTTTTCCTTTCTTTTTTGATTCGTCACTTTTTCTATTTTTGGGATTTTTCTGATTTTCAAATGTAATTTTCACTCTACATTAGACAACCTTCTTTTCCGGTAGAATATCTACTAAACTTTTTTTCATGAATAGGGTCAAATTACACAAAACGAGTTTTAAGTAACCTTTTTCTACATGCCACAGTTAGTATAATGTCTTTCACTTTTTCGGCTAACGATAGGAACTAAAAGATTAAGCGGTGATGTTCTTGGTTTTGGATGGATCTAATCACCCCCAAACTTATTTTAAAAGAGTTTTCAATATGATTCTAACTGGATTGATTAATGTAATAAACATGCTCTAAAATTTTAAAAGATTCTAAGGTTGCTGGGTCACATAACTCAAATCAAAGTCAACCATAAGTGCAAAAAAAAAAAGAATAAGTATGTGCGGGTTCTTGGACCCTGACTAGTTTGGGGTACATCCCGCGGTTTACCTGGTCTGCGTCTTAAGAGATCAAGGCGTAGACCCCATGATTAGTCGTCGAAGGTGGACACTTGGATATCAAAAAAAAAAAAAGTATGTGCTCGAATTGTTAGAACGCTAAGTATAAATTAATGGGATTCATAAATAATTAAAAATTCGAATGTCAACACGAACCAATCCAATTTTTACTCATAGATATGCACGATATTATCATTGGATATGAATTATTTTGTTAAAGTTAAGTTGCACACCAGCATTCATAATAAAGCTAAATAAATTTTTTTTCCATTTTTTTCATCAAGTTTTTTTTCTCAAAAGTAAACCTAAATTAATCACGCACATTATTTATGTACATTAGATTAAAAGAAAACCTAGATTTTTCACCCCCAAACTTAATTCATACATTTTCCTCAATATAACATTGTGAAGCTCAAAATATATAAATTAAATAAACGAGATTAAGCCCTTGTTTGAGCCACATTATTTTTTTCATTCTCATTCTTTTATTCATTTTCAACCACACATTTTTTAATAAAATAATATTTTTGATCACATCAACCCACATATTCTCCATCACATAAAAAAAGAATTATGATATTTGTACCATTTGGGGTACACTTTGGTTTACCCGACCCCACCCCCTCCCTCACATGGGGGTCGGGTCCCAAGTTGAGGGTGGATGATGAAAAATAAGGATTCAACATGCACACCACATTCTACCAACCATTTGATCTCGAGAAGTGCTAATAGTGTAAAGTGTAGCCGTGCGTACAAAAGGAAAATTGGTTGATTACTTAGAGCCCTCAAAAATGAAAAAGGCGTCTTCAAATTACAGGAGAAAAAAGTATAAAGACACTAACTCCAAGCAGTACAAGGATGGCAAAACCCGATTTGAGCCATCTTGAGTGATCACTACCCAAAGTCGAGTTCAAGCCTATAAATTTAACACTTAATGGGAGACAATCTATTATTTGCATGTCTTTAATTATTAATTTCATTGCATGTAGTGAGGTAGGATAGTATTTGTGCTTAAGCACATTAAATTACTGTTTACTAATGTTTTTTCAGTAATCTATACTCAGGGTCGTATTCCTAGCATCATAGTTATGCCAAAAAAAAAAATGAATATTCAATATTTGGACTATGAAATCGTATAGCCAAGATTTGGTTAGCTTCATACGTCAATATGGATCATGGCAGAACGTTCATGGGATAAATTATACGACCATCAGTCGTAAAGCTTTGTGATCACGTGGCAATGCAAAACTTTTAATGTAGTACATACTTGAATTCTTCGCAAAAGATTAGTCTTAACTCCCATATGTTTATATTGATCATGAATTGTTTTTTTTCTTCTCTTTTTAGGCATCATTGAAATGTTATGCAAAAGGAGCAAATAAGAGAAATGGAAGATATAAGACCAAGTGCTAATGTAAAGGCAGCATCATACATATTGCTAACATTTCTTTAAGCTTATTTTGTGATCACACTGGGATAACTTGTATTTCAACTTTGGAGATCGAACTTCGTTAGTGTGATTGGTTTGTTTGTATGCAAGTTATTTTTTAAATTCAAAACAAATTGAAAAATTAGAAAAAAAAAAAAATCAAAAATTACTTTTGTATATGTGTGCTCACGTAAGTTGGATAGTCTTGCTGAAATTATTTGAAATTGTTTGTGATTCATGAATTGTGATTAAGTAATGAAACTTTTGCTAATTTGATACTTATCCATAAGAGATTGTAATTTTTTGAGCACACTAATCATGAAAATCAACAGGTGAATTAATTAATTAACTTAGTTTGTGAAAACCAAGATAAATGTGAAAGCAGAACCATTTGATCAATTGAAAGGATAGTTGGGGATGGTTGACATGGTATTGGAAGCTATCAAGATAGGTACTCATTCCATGCTTTTGAAAATTTATGGAGACTGTTTTTGGTCAAGAAGTGGAATCTAGGTGTTAACCATGAACTTGGAGTGTAGTCTTACCTACCCATCTCAAAATAAGGCATTGCACTAGTCTAGGGGTTTAAAGGGTAAAAGTATAGAAATAAGTGGCCTGCATCCCAAGTTGACATCGAGATTTTAGGTGTCATGTGTGACATTTTAAAATGTTACCCTTTCATCTAACTAAAAAATATATTAAGAAAAAACATACTCATAATATTATTTCATTGTAAAAATACGACATTTAAAAATTTGTTTATTTTCTTATATATCATGAATAAGAAAAGTTCAAGTAAACTGAAAGCACCTCCCAAACTTTAACAAATTCAAATGTCATCAACAAAGAATCATCCAAACCACTATCCTCTTGGTACAAATCCATATGAGCAAACTTTGAAATCAAAAAGAGCAAATCCCGCGTGTAAATCTTGAAGTGCAGCCAATTATATAAAAATATTTCTTTGTGCATTTCTAAAAGCAAACTCATTAATTAAACTTTTGTGATCAACATTTGCAACAAATATTGTTCAACAGATATCAAAGATAACACATTCAATCGTTTTTATAACATGATTGATTGCACATAAGATTTTAGCCCTTGTTTGGGCTCAATTAAAATTAAATTTTGGAGAAAAACGCATTTCAGAATAGTGATTTTGGGAACAATGTAGATTTAAAAAAGAAGGAAAATATGTGAATTTATCTATAATATTATTTTATTGAAAAATGTGTGATTAAAAAGAAGAGAGGAAAATTTATTTTGAATAAAATGGAGCCCAAACAAGGGCTTAATAACTTTAGTTTTTGAAGATTGTACTATTATAAAACAAGCAACAAAGATTGATGGTTAAGTTTCTTCTCTTTCCTGTTTGACTGTTCTCTGTAGGTTGGGAGAGACGAAAATTACGAAAAGGGATTTGGGGTTCGCTTTTGATTATTCACTTTAATCATTTGGATTTTGGGTTATTTATTGTCTTCTCGGGTTAGTAATTGGTTAATGAAATTAATTGGACATTTGAGATTGTGATTGGAAAAATAGATAGTTTATAATTTATTTATTTTTTTGAAACCAAGATTGTTTAATATTAGAAGCATAAATAATATTTTTTTCAATAATATGTTATATTTTGCCCTTATTTGAGCCCCCATTTTATGGAAAAAAAAATGCATTCTTGAATAATATTTTGACCTCATTTCAATCACACATTTTTCAATAAAATAATATTACACGCAAACTCAAAAATTTTCCATATTTTTTAACCACAAATTTACCATCAATTCACTATTAAAAAATACATATTTTTTTGACAAAAATGGGCCTCAAACAAGCCCTTAACAAGTATTAATGTAATATAAATTTGTTTTGCTCTTTTTTACATGAATAGTATGCCCTTTAACTTAACATAATAATTAAAATTTTAAATTTTAAAATTAATAAACATTTTAAATATGTACTTACATGTATAAATACACCTATAACAAATTTTTGGTTTTGGTGCCCATATAATGTCGAGACTTCGTGTGGTAGTTCAACTTGCACACACTCAAGACCATCTCTGCAACTACATTGATAA